CCCTTCCTCCCTTCCTCCCTTCCTCCCTTCCTCCCTTCCTTGTTCTCCATACCAGGAATGATTTTGTTGACCCCTTTCATGATTTTAAAGACTTCTTTCATACCTGCCTTCCCATTAAACAACCCCCCACTCCCCAATCACTGAAGACTTTCCTCATAGGAGAACTACTGTCGCTTGTTTTCTTTTCTTCTACCCTTTCCAGGTCTATCACATACTCATTGACTAGAATTGTACACAACATTCCAACTCTGGACTCATCTGAGCGTATATTGCTTAGATTGTATTAGCAATTTATTTCCAATTCCCTTCCTAAAGATTCACCAACCGTCCAGATGTTGTATAATGAAGGCTGGTGATATAATATGTGGTTTTAAAAGATGGTGAGATAGATTTATGGAAACAGTTGCCAATACCTACAGGATCTGATGAAGATTTGTCTGACTATTGGAGGACCGTTTCTGTTAAGAACCTGGCTAACCATTAAGATTGGCAGAAGAGGATCTTCTGACATTGCCCCAATGGGTAAACCTTCTGCAGAAGACCTTTATATTTCTAGAAGCAAAGTTGTTTATAGGCTGACTGAATCTAAAGACCAATGTTTTCATATAACTAACCAATTTAGCTTTTCTTTGGCTATAAATCTATGATAAGTACCTTTCTTTTTGTAAACTAGCTGCCATTATATGCTTCATTTAATTATATGCCTTAGGTTCGAAGGATTTTGATGGCATTCCTTTGAGCACCTCTCAGGACTTAATCAAGCCCTATCTCTGAGCTCCTTATCTTTAAGCTGGTAAAGGCAAGAATTGTGCCAAGGGAAGGAAAAGTGGCTATCTTCAAAGGCAGTTTTGTGAATCTGCTTTTAGGAACTATCCTGCCATGTTAACTATCCATGCAGGGCTAGAGTTGGGGTCCCCATGGCCACATGCAGGGACAAGATATCTTGTCTTCTTCTCAAAGTATGCCCTCGCCTACTGTCTTCCAGGATTAACACTGATTGTTGTTTTTAATACGGTTTTATTGTGCCAATCAAGTTGAATTGTACAGGGTGTGGTCATTCTTTTGTTCAAAATCTTGAATGGCTTGTAACTCTAGGATTTTTCTGGGGTTTGTTTTTTTGGCCTGTTGGCTATTAATGGTAGGCTCTGTTGCATGACTTTCTTCCAGTTACGTATTCATGCATCTGGAGTTGGAAGGAGACTTTCCTTCTCTATCGCTCCCAAGCCATAACACACATTTCCTACATACCTCGGCCCCTACTTTCTCTGGTTAGAAAATCTGTAAAGGTACATCTCTTTCTTCAAGTTTTTACTTATTGAGTAATATTGGTACTAATTTTAATTTACAGTGATTATCTGCCATCAAGTCAGTGTCGACTCCTAGTGACCACATAGATGGTACCACACCCTAACAGTTTACAACCATGATTAGCCAACTTGGATACTCATTTGAATAGAAATATTAGATATAAATTGAATAAATGAATACATAAATAATTTATCGTACCCCAGTACAGAAAGATGAATGGAAGCTGGCAACATAGTACCTATGGTTGCTATGGTACCCACTGACATTAATAAAAAGTGAAAAAGTGGAAGCCCCAAAAATACCCCAAATCTCACAATAATCAAATCTTGATTGCTCTTCTTGAGTTTGCTACCATTTTAATAATCGTATTTATTAAACCTGCAATACGTACAATCATGCAACATCCTAAATTGTAATTAACAGTGATAGAATATTTTTCTTTCTCCTCTCTCTTCTCAATATTCTAAGCTCTCTAGATAATAAAATGTTAATACTTTTCAATCATATACAAACATCAACATATTGAAACAGCACAATGTATTAAGATTTGTAACAAGTTAATAAAAAGGAAAAGAAAAATAAATTTTCTTATTTCTTGTATTCCCCAATTCCCACTCACCTCAAAATACTCAATCTTTACTTGGTTCAAGGATTCCTGAAAGAGACTTTTCTAGGATTGGCAAACTAACCTGCTCCAACCTCAATAATAAGCCAAATTTTACATTGTCTTCCCCTCTCTGTCTTAAGCAAAGGTTGTTTCCTTTCCTTCTGAGAATCAAGTCCTGAAATATATTCTAGCCTGTATGTAGTACAGTTACTTGTAGGCTGTGCTAGGAGAAGCTAAGTGCTAAATGGGTTGGTGAAGTGAAGACAGACAGAAAGTTCCCAAAGAAGAATCAAGAGTAGTCCTCCTACAATAAGATTGGTGAAGTGGAAAACATGCAAAAATAGTATCTAATTCATCATGTTGATTCCTCGGTTACTAGAGAATATCTCAATGACATTTTTCCTGCAACAGAGTCCTGTTAGGTTCTCATGTGGAAAAAAAAGGCAGTTAAAATACGCCCAGATCTCAATTATAATAATTTTGCCTGGGATGTGCCCTCATCTCAATGGAGATGCTGTTTAGACAACTTCACTTACAGCTTCTCGGTTGGCTGGCTGACGAATGAGGTCGCCATCCATGTCCATCAGTAACTCTTCATCTCCTGCACAAGAGATAACAGTGTCAAAAAGTCCTGGGAGCCATTTGTGACTGACCACCTGCCAAAGGAGGGGTGGGGAGGAATAAAAATACAGCTAGGTAGCACAATGAAGTCTGTCTAGCAAGGGGTTTATTCCCAGAAACCGTTTTGCTATGTGTTCACTCAAATGTTTATAACATCCCGCTTGAATCTGCCTTTCAATAAATGCTGAAATACATAGTTCAATTAACTTCTCATTCAAAATATGCATGTTTATCTCTCAGCGTTCTCAAATACATTATACAGGGCTTGAATTTATGTTATTTTTGCATCACAGAGGATGGAGAAGTTATTTATCTTGCCTTTGTCCAGGAAAAGGTGCCATTCATAGCCCCCTTTTATTGGGAAATGCTGTTATTGTTCAAGATTTATACAGCACCCATTCACTGATTGTTTTCTTTGTAAGTACTCTCTCTCTTTATATGCATTCATAGGAAAAATACCACAGATTAATCTTCCCTGAGAACTAGTTTGATGTTATGGTTAAAGGACGCAGGCTAGAAACCAGGAAACTGTGAGTCCTAGTCCTGCCTTGGGCATGAAGCCAGCTGGGTGACTTTGGGGCAGTTACTCTCTCTTAGTCCTAGGAAGAAAGGAGTGTGAGAAGTCACTCCTGGAAATGTTGCCAAGAAAACTTGCAGGGAGTTGTTCATGTAGTGCCCAGGAGTCAAGATTAACCTGAAGGCAAGGAGAGCCAGTTTGGTGTATGGTTAAGGTGCCAGGTTAAAAACTGGGAGACTGTGAGTTCTAGTCCCACCTTAGGCATGAAGCCAGCTGGGTGACCTTGGGCCAGTCACGCTCTCTCAACCCCAGGAAGAAGAAGACAAGGACAAACCACTTCCGAAATCTTGCCAGGAAAACTACAGGGACTTGCCCAGGCAGGTACCAACAGTGACCCAAAGGCACTAAATATAGATTAATCTTTGCTATCCACTCCTGGCTGCCTTTTTCACCTGAAAAAGAGTTCATGAGTGTCTTTGACCTGTCCCAAATTGGAAATTGTGACCAAACTGCTCACCAAGAAAGCACTTTCCAATTTATAACAATTTGCCTTCCAAGTGTGAAAGGCGGTCCCTTCAGTTAATCCCTTAAGACAGGGTTCCTCAACCTTGGCAACTTTAAGACAGGTGGACTTCAACTCCCAGAATTCCCCAGCAATGCTAGCTGGGGAATTCTGGGAGTT